CCGGCGGCGGCGCGGGCGGAACCCTAGGGAGGGGGAGCCGCGAGGAGGGGGGGTCCAACCAACCCCAGCATCGTCCCTTTTTTTGGTTGCGACCGGGCGCTATGCATTTGAAATCCAAATTGGTTAGATTTAGGCGGATGTTTAGGGGATGTAGTTGGATGACCGACTCTCACATCCATGTCCAGTCCGCTGGCAAACAGTGTGTCCAACACATTTAGGGGATGCGGTTGGATGGCCAACTCTCACATCCATATCTGCGAAGTGGTCCAGTCCGGGGGCAAATAGGGTGTCCATTTTGGGTTTCAGACTTGGAGATGCCCTAAGTTATTTTGATTTGCAGCAAAGCAAGGGCTACTTTGTCAATAGCGTCCAAATTAGAAAGTCATGGACAAACCAACAAGTTGATGGTGGCGGTAACTGTCCAGTTATTGTTGGTCATTGTTTCAAAAATACAATTCATTGTTAGGTTAAAAAAAATACAATTTATTGTTGGTCATTTCGTGAAGTCACAAGATTGGAAAGAACGTGACAGGGAACTGTTAAATTTATGTGGTACGGTGTGAGGTTGCCAAATTCTACTAGCACAACCCTGCAAGGAAGGTGTTGCTTGGCAGCTTCATCGATCCTCTGCGTCTTGCAGAAAGAAAACTTATAAACTTTAAGGCTGTTACCTTTCAGAATTGGATTGCACGAAGCCTGATGAACTGGTCGTTGTTGCTGCTGCTGTCTTTGTTGACAGGTTATGCACGTAGCTGGCGGCTATAAGTCTGATGCCACACAAAAGAGAGTTGACGAGAAATAGATAAACGGGATAGCAAGCATTTCCAGGATAATGCATTATTACTAGGACTGCAAAGAAGCAAGCATTATACAGAAGAACGTACTGAATACAGACCATGAGCATTACAACGAGGAGCAAATGATAGTAGAGTTGGCACCAGTAGTGTGCAATACATAACCTGACCATCAAGAACGCTTCCGAGAACTAGTCAGAGCTCGACCGACATGAACGACATACAATATAATCATAGATAGACATAATACAGTTCATAGAAACGTTATAACTTATAGCTCGCAGATAGTGGAATTTATTCAACTTAAACGCGTAATAGGGCAGGCTGGGAACTTGCTACAGCGCAGCACATACGTCAGGCAACAGCGACGGCAAATTAGATTTTGGGCAACTAGGGGTTAGTATATCTTGGCCTTTTCTCTTCCCTTGAAACTCACCTTGCTGTCGGCTTGCCGGATAATGTGACAAAGAATTAGCATCGGAATTGGCATTGGCATCAGCATCGTCATAGCTGTAGTATATTTCATTCTCTTTGAACATCCGCAGCTTTGTAATTTCCTTGTATTTATTCCCTTGTACGTGTCATCCATTACTGCTGATAATATATTCCAATGGCCATTTCCTAGCTCCCACTACACATAGTTATCAATGAGCTGTCTTAGTCTGTGGTTATATTTTCATTACGAACAGTTCATCTGTATGCTGGTAAACCGAAACAGCAAACATGAACTAGTTCTCTCCACATTGTTCTTCTGACTTGAACAACTTCCCTACTCATTATTATTCTGGCTCTCCAGTCTCTGCACGCAACCTTGTCTAGTCATATTCTGTTGAAGGTATATGAAGGATCTCTGCACTTTGCAAATTTTCTTGAATCCATGATTCCCAGCATCCAATACTTTTGCATCAAGTTCTGGCTCTCCAATCTCCTTCATGATTCCCAGCATCCATACTTTTGCATCAAGTTCAGAGTAAACCAGCTGCTCTTCACAAGCAGGGACATAAATCAGCTGAAATCTTTAAGAGAGTACAAAAACAATTGCACACTGATGAGGCCACCAATGGTTGAATGATTTTGACCCCTGATCTCAATATCTCAAATTCAGTTGAACAATTGTCCATTTATTGTCTTAGTTGTATTTTCTTGACAAGAGGAAGGTATGAAGGATCTCTGCACTTCGCCAAGTTTCTTGAATGATCCATGAAAAGATCTTCATCCAGGTGGTTAACAGTAACCCAGCCGCTCTTTACAAGCAGGGACATAAATCAGCTGAAATCTTTAAGAGAGTGCAGAAACAATTGCAAGCTGATGAGGCCACCAATGGTTAAATGATTTCGACTCTTGGTCTCATACCTCAAATACAGTTGAATATTTTTCCATTTGTTTATCAAATTTCCAGTTGCCATATGTTCAATCTATAGTTCCCGTCAGCATACTGCAAACCACTGATGGGTGCATCAGATGAGACAACTTAACAAGTACAACATTTCTAGCTTGTTGTCTTATTGTGCAGATGAATTTCCATTGTATCTGCAATCTTCACTTATGCCTCTGCTTGTTTCGCTCATATGTTGTCCTGCAGTTCGTCTGTCTTCATATCATCTCAACTTTGGCTAGTCACGACAATTCACTATTTTCACACAAATTCAAGGAAACTATTTGCAGTTTCTACACCACCTCTGTACCAAGGGATCATCCACTTTTGCACACTAAGGATTTCTCTGGTTTCTTGTCTACTCCCTCAGCATCCGTTCCCCTACCCTCCTCCTGATGCAAATAGAGCCCTTACACAATTGCAATCCACTCAACTTACCTCAAGCTGTCGCAGTTTCTTCCTCCTTGTGGGCCGCGTGGCGGGCACACGCCCAATTTGATGGCCCAATCGGGAATCATAATTAACACAAACTCACTTCTCAACAGAGCACACAATTATTAATTTGATCAACAAGCACGTCATCAAACTGAACAGATCTCCTCTGCCGATGGCCAAATTCCAGATCTGCTAATCCGAGCACGCCGGCAAGCCAAAGCAGACCAAGTGACAGCAAATCGGCAAAAAAAGGGAAACGAAACAGCCAAGACACAATAACAACCTAGTGGTTTGGCCCTAGATCTAACGCCCGACGCCGCTGTTAGCACCGAAGCACGTACCTCGCGGCGGCCAGCGCCCAGCCGCCGTCTAATATAGCCACTAGTTGGCGACGTCCCCGCGCTCGGCGGCCGCCGACGCGTCCTGCAGCTGCTGGTACGGCTTGTCGTCGTGCACGAAGAAGACGTAGAAGCCGCCGCAGGTGGTGGCGGCGGCCATCGCCCAGACGAGGAGCTTGACGGCGAGCGGCATGACCTCGGCGACCTTGTAGGTGAACATGACGGTGAGCAGCGTGGTGAGCGCCCAGACGGCGGCCTTGAGCCGCTCCCGGCGCGGGGAGTGGCGGTCGAGGCGCTCGTAGAGGCGCAGGCAGGCGAAGAGGGCGACGAGGTCGAGGTAGGAGACGGCGACGAAGACGACGGACCCCGCGTCGCCGTTGGAGCGGTACACGGCCATGCCGGAGTTGAAGGTCAGGAAGGCGAACCCTAGCGCCGTGAGCCACGAGAACTCCGCCATCGCCTGTGCTGGTGCTGCTGTGCTACCTGCGACGGATAGGAGACAAGTCAGGAACCATGGCGACCGGAGGGGTGGATTTAAAGGGGGCGGAGATCGGAGAAGCCGCGAGCGGCCGCGGAATCGCCGAAGGGGAAAAAAGCTTGACTGGAAGAACGCACCAGATTATTTATGGCTGGTGGATGCTGACGATGAACTGGTACGCGTTTGGAGAGCACAAGGGTTCGGCTCTTAACGTGTTTCTTTGGGTCGCTGTCGTGAGATGGTGTGAACACCTATGTACCGAAAGCGTGTCTCGCGCACTAGACTCTTCCTTTTTTTCTTGTGAAGTACGTGTATGTTCTTTTTTCCGGAAAAATATTCAGATCTAGGAATATTATAGAAATTCGCCAGAACTACGTACAAAACATCTCAAATACAATAAAAATTAAAGAGAGATTTTATATTGCAACCCTGAATTACCACTAAAGTCTAAGGTACGACATCAAACTCCAAAACCTTCTACTTTACAGCATCAAACTTTCAAAAAGGGAAAAGGTTTGGGGCTGGGCACCGGCCGACCCGTGTGATCTCCTCTTATCGTATGCCCAGCCCTCTCGGGTGATGGGACGCATGGCTAACGGGCCCACCAAACGGTCTACGCTGCTCCCTTTCTCTCTCTTTCATCTCGTCGGTCCCACCTTTATCAGTCGTCATCG